TTTTGCGAAAAATTATTTAAAAACTGTTTAAAAAGAGGCTATTTCGTGTCTGTAAAATGTGTCTACAAAAATTATAAATTGGCCATTTTGATGGTTCTAGTGAGTCGAGACACATTCTTCATGACCGGCGACTTTAGAGATCCAAACGTTGCATATCACATCCAAAACAGAGGTTCAGCTCTATCGTCAGATTCTTATTATTCTTTCAAACGAAACTCAATATTCAAAGGACAGATGCATAACCTAATGAAAGTTTGAAACAAGGATAATTTTGATAAAAAGAACGGGCGATAGACGATCGATTTCTTGCAAGTGCAAGTGTTGTTCCCTTCACTTTGCAAACTTCGTACTGCTACATTAACCACACTCGGCCATTTTATTATTGTTATTCACTTATTTATTGAACGTTCGTATAATCATTAGACGAGTGAAAGTATCGTATTCTCGTAATCTCACGGCTGGCAGGCGCGCGAATTTCAAACGACGTAGAAAACTACGTTACCGACTACATTCAGCTAAAGAGTTTGAAATGACGCGTAGGTCTACGTTATCGGCTGCAAACTTGATATATACTGCTACGTAACGAGAACGTAAATTCTTCTCACTGGAAAAAGAAGAAGAGAAATATCACGGTCCTTTTCGCGAATCGACTCGAGATATACTTACAATTAGTCAGCCAGTCGAGAAATTAGAGATTGGCTGCGCAGCGGAATTCCTTGGCGGCAGCAGCGAGGCACGAGTCACGTAACGTGGTAGTCGAGATAAGTGCACGGCCTACTGAGATCGGTTTCCCCGGTAATCAAGGTAATGCGATATCACGTGCCAACCGCGAACGATATTATCCTGGCGCCTGCATGACAAAAATCGGTGTGATTGGACAAGAATTTTATTATTCGGATCATTTTTTGACGACCCTTTGATGTCCTTTTCTTGAAGAATATTTATGTTTGCGAGCAGATTTTTCCTCCGTACGAAGCACACGAAAAAAAAATCAAATAAGAAGAAAAATTTTGTATCAAATCGAATGGTATTTAAGAAACAAGCTGCTCAGCGTTGTCGTTGAAAATTTTCATACTTTTCTAATTAAAGTTGTCGTTGTCTAAAAAGTCACATTCCTTTTTGCGAAAATTTCGAAACTCGGAGCAATGTACGTGGCTGTACAACAAAGAAGTGTCCCTGGAAATATTTCTAAATGATTACGTATCCAAATCGAAGGACACACTTGATTTGAATTGCAGGCTGTGGCAAACTGCGCTTCCTGGGAAACGGAGGATGGCGGCGATAGAGGCAGAGGCGGAGCTGCTCGATAAGATTTCATCCGGCAGGGACGCGCGAATCGATCACGATTCAGGCGAGCAAATCCCCGCGAACAAGAGCGAAGATCGGGAGAAAGTTCGCGTTCTCTCCGTAGACAAGATCACGCTCGAAAAGATCGTGTTGGAAGGTAGCGGCGGTTCGCGCGAGCTTCTTCTGACGAGGAACGAGAGTTTGCGGAAACTTTCGATAAAATCGGAGCCACTCGGTGGGAAATCGGTGTCTCATCAGGCGAGATGCAACGAACCGGCAACAAACTCTGGCAAATTTCGCGCCAACGACCACTCCTCCCCTCCGTCGAAACAAACTGCGGAATCGTGGACGATAGAGAAGAGAATCAGGCCTGTTAAGTTGATAAAGAGTGATCCGTCATTCTTGGAAGGAGGACTGAACAAGGTCGAGATAGGAGAGGAGACGAGCGCGAAGGATCGTTTGGAGAAGAGTCGGACAAAGATCGAGGTGCTGCAGCAGAACCTGAGCGCGAGGATCGACGCGAGCACGGCTCAGAGGTACAAGGAGGAATTACTGGGATCGCGAGGGAACCGTGCCGCTCGAAACTTGCCCGACGTGGATTCGAACGTCGAGAGGCTGGCGAGCGGTAAGCTGACGTTCGACGAAGAGTTTCTGCAGAAGCACAATCTCGACAAGAGATTGAAGATCGAGGAGTACGGTGTTCTCGGTCCGGGATCGGACGCGAGTCGCGAGTCCGCTTCGACCGGGCTCCAACTCGTCGGGAGCGAAGAGGAGGAGGAGGAGGAGGAGGACCGAGCGAGAAGGAAGCTCGGCTACAGTGAGAAGGTGCTGGAAGTGGAGAAGAGGTGGTCCGGCGAGTTTCTCAAGGACCAGTTGGATCGTCGTTCCTCGGGATCGTCCAAGTCCTCTTACGTGGGCGAGGAATTGGGCAGCGTTTCCTCCTGCGGAGGGGCGAGCGAGGAGGAAGACTACGAGCGAGGCGAAGGATCGCGGGCTCTGCCGTTCGAACGACGACGGTGCCAAGAGGACGAGGCGAGGAGAACTCGCGAGGAGATCCTCGGCGACAGCACGCTCAGCACCGTCGACTCGGACTCGTGTCTCGAGGAGAGGATCAAGTCTTTGGAGCAGGATATCGAGGGAGAGAAGGATAATAGCGAGGGAAGACTTCGAGACAAGCAGAATGACACCGATGACGACGGAGCGGCAGCGGAGCAGCTCGACGGACGCAGACAGATAGCCAGCGTAGCCAGCGAGTGTCGTGGTAATCCGTCTTGGAGGAATCGCGGGCAATCGCGTCGATCGAGAAATTACGCGAGCAACGACAACGAGATCTCGAGCGCGACCAGCACGGACAGCGTACGAGAGTTTGCTGCGGTTGTCGGCGATCGGTTCGCAGCGGATACGGACGGGTACGCGAATCTGATAAGAGTGTTCCAAGCGATGGAGGCGGGTGGCGGGTCGTCTCGGGCGGGGAAACGCGCAGGGGAGGAGAAGCAGAAGAGGAAGCTGGGCCTTCGTCGTTTGCTGCCGGGTTTCTTCTCGCCGAAAGACTCGCGAAAGGAGTACAAGAAGAAGGAGCCGAAGGAGAGGAAGAGGCCCACAGACGAGAAGCACTTTGCCCGCTACCAGCAGAACGGGAACTACACCAGGTCCCCGGACACGATGAACCTGAACGAAGACATCAAGAGGAACGTGAAGCTGGACAACAGTCTGAACGGGTCGATAATCGAGGAGAGGCTGGACGAGATCAAGCGCGAGCTGTTCCCGGATCACTCGAACCCGGGACCGATAACGAGCACGCCGGATCACTTTGCCAGGGAGGAGGATCCCCGTTGCGAGGGTCTGCTGCGCGATCGAAGCGGAGCGCCGAGGTGTTACGCGACCGACTCGAGCCTGAGCTCGATCGCGCCGGACGAAAGATGGAACGAGCGGAACGCGCAGCTGGGAATCTCGCCGGACATTAGAAAATTCGAGGAGAGGCAGAAGCGCGAGGAATTCGGCAATCAGATACAACGGGGGAGGTACAACGATACGGGGCAACGATACGGCCAGCTCGAGCGAAAACACAGCCTGCAGGAGCCGCCGAGTCACGCCGAGCCGGCGGTTAGACTTCAGTCGTGCCTGTTCCAGAGGAACCACGCTCCCTCTGGCAGGATATCCGCTCCACCGAGCGAGAGGTACCTGGTCAGACCGAGAGCCGTTCACCCGATGGATCGGCCGTTGCCGGCGATACCGCGCTCCAGGCCCGATTACGAGAACTATTTGGCCGAGCAGCAGGAACGACAAGACGAACGGACAGCAGCCAGGTATGGAAGGAACGCGTACGACAAATCTGCCGCCGCCGCCGCCGCCGCCGAGTATCTCCTCGACCAAGTACCACCTGCCCTGTACGAGAACAGGGAGGAGGACGATCCGTCGGGCCTGATTTTGAAGTCGGTGTCCGCGCAGGTGAAGATCACCAGGCAACCGATAGTGAATCAGAATCAGAATAACAGAGCTGCTGCCCTGCTAGGCAGATCGCCCAAGTATCTCTCCTCGGGATCGAGTCAAAAGTCATACGGCGACTACGGCGACTCGAGTTGCACGCCGAATTCCAGTCAGAAGAGCGAGTTCTCACCTTCGAGCTCCAAGAGCGGCGAGTACTACGTGCACTCGCCTCGGAACAGCGGCTGCGGCGGCGGCGGCTCTCCGTCAAACGGAACAGCCGAGTTGGACGACAGCTGCGAGGATCCGTCGACGAGACGAGAGGAGGAAGCCATCTACGAGAACGAGAAGATCTCGCCGTCATCGAGATCGGCCGTCGGACGCGCGAGCGAGAGGATATACGACCACCAGGCGCAACAACTCGACGGGCGAGTTTCGTCACCCACGACGCACAAGACTCGTTGCAGAGCCGAGAGATCCTCGGCCTCGCCCGGCGAGAACCTCGCGAACGAGAAACGCGAGGACGAGGCGAAGAAGAACAACGACGAAGATCGAGGGGAAGAATCGAGCTGCGGTCCTGCCTCTCCCACCGAAAGTATTATTCACGGTAAATCTGAAATTTCGCCGTTCGGCTCGCGACAACGTCTGCCAGCTTCCTGCAGGAGGGCCCAGCCCAACGAGCAGATTCTCATAGCCTCGCCGAAGAGGGAAAATCCTTCCGCGTCCTGCGAGACGAGGATTCCGCGTCGTCCATCGAACGAGTCGAGACGATGCGCCATGGAGTCGCCGGTTCGCATGAGCAACGCGCCTCGCGGTTCCCTGGATCGGCGTAGCCAGGATTCCGGTACGAGCAAAGTCGCCGTCGCCACCGCCGCCGCGAGTAGAGAGGCTCGAGACAGTTTCAACGCTGAGGTATCAAGACCGGAGCCCGTTTACGGGCAAAAGAGCCAGAGAAGCGGGGAGATTAGCAGCTCACCACCTTTGA